ACTAGTTAGATAGAAATCTCTCTTTAGCTTTGTTGTTCATGTGCACTGGTGGCTGTTTTTTGCTGCCACTCTGCTTTATAGTTTGCAGGTATTTCTCTTATAGTGAGGCAGTTCTGGAGTGTTTGTACGAAGCTAAGCTAGCTGTTCTACTTTTAATCTTTGTGCTAAGCTAGTCTAAAGACATCCTCGGCCTACTTCTGTTTTTCAGTTTGATATAAATTGTAATGGCCGGTGGCCACAAGGTGTGTGTGTGAGGGCAGGACCCAAAACGAAAAGGGAGCAGGGTAAGGAACAACAGGCTTTATTCAAGGGAACCAGGGTGTGTGGGACACCGGGAGGCAGGTGAGAGAATCCAGGGCAGGTGTGCTGGTGCCGTGGTGGAGGGTGATCTCCCGTGCAGTCGTGGCGTTCTTCCCGTACCGGTGCTCGTGTGAATGAATTCCAGGCTTGTTGCTCCGTGGAGGAGAACAAAGGCTGACGTAGTGGGCTGGAGAGGCTTGATGCTGGGGCCGGTGGAGGAGGCGCTGGAGAGCATAAAAATACACTGTTACTCGTGAACTCGAAAAACAATAGCGAAACGCACATGTACTGGAGCTGGCAACCGAATGTACCACTGCAGAGTAGGCAATCGTCTCGCCCTGGAGCACAGATAGATCGATGGCTTTATCCAGCGCGTAATGAGGGTGATGAGCTGCAGCTGTGATAGTGCCGGAGCGTTCTCCTCCAATCAGCCCCGCCCAGCCTGAAAACATGAAAACATACACTCCAGCTGCACCCAGAGAACGTCAGTAAAATACACAATACAATACCACACAATCACCACATAAATTCTACCGTGCAGCTCTTGGTTTTTGTTAAAAATGTCATTCTTTGAGCTTAATTTCTCTGTTTCCTTTCAGGGTTGTTGCAACCACTCAGATGCAGGCGACAGACGCCAGGAAGGCTTTCCCCTGCTTCGACGAGCCGGCGATGAAGGCTGTTTTCCACGTCAGTCTGACCCACGACCCGGGGA